TCCCATCAAGACGCTCATCCTTTCTGAACTTCAGCTGAAGAATTGTGCCCACAGCCCTCAGAAATAAGGGCCCTCAGAAAGTTCCTCCTGGGAATATAGGTCTTCTACGCTCAAACAACGTAGTCACTCCTCGTCAGTAAAGAATTTTCTGTTGGCACACTACCGATGCTATATTCTCTCATTGCGATCAAAATCTTCCTACCGAATTGGTAGGTGAGAAAAGGTGAGACAAGTCCCCTTCTGTCCCTCTAACCCACGATTGTAGACATGAAATGGACTCACAGCGCATCACTACATGATCGCAATCGCTTCATTTCCTTTAACTATGGAACTCATTTTCTTACAATATTAAGCATCACATTTCAGGCTTAGCTCATTATTTACTTTACAGATCCAGCTTCGGGTGGCTCAGAAGATTGGGCCAAAGGCAAAGCCCACGTAAAGTATTCGTACCTTTTCGAACTTCGACCGGAAGAACAAGTTTGGGATGGATTTTTGCTTTCCGAAAATCAAGTATGAATAATATTAGTTGCCTTCATGTAACTCACAATGTATCAGCTATCATTGACTAGATCATGCCTACGGCTAGAGAAACCTGGGAAGCAGTGAAGGTGATCGCCTCGCAGACTCTGAACATACCAAGTGTCGCCCGAGCTCCTCAACGCCAAACTCAGGTAAGCTAGTCTGTTATTCGGTCAAGACTAATTATTAGTTGAGTAGAGGTCTACCGTAATCTGAAGATCCGACTCAAGAATTTGTTTGCTCTGAATGTATGACCACTACGAATCCTCCCTTTCTCGTCAGGATTAGAGAGAAAAGTCAGCACGTCAAGGGCAAGGGAAAAGGTAATAAGGTAGACAATACCATCTAGTGATTCTTTCCCACAAGAGAAAAAATGAATCTGTGTTTCACCTCCTCTATTTCCGCTACGCCCTCATTCATATCACAGCTTGCATGTCATGATGGATGCTTCAGCGGGAAATTGTGATGCACCGCACAAAAGGCACCGCTGTTTATTCTGCCACTCACATTAATGTAGGATTATTGATATCGCCAACTTGCTCTATAGCGCTGTAGAAGGTGAGTAGGGTGGAGGGGAATGTATGTCACGGCGATGTGCAGGCGCGTAGTCGATAAATAATCGTCGCGAACCACAACAAATTCAAAAGGTTGACTACAACTCCTCAATGTTTTCCGAACTAATGCCCTGCTCCTAACGAGATTTATTTCAGGCGCGATCATGTACGGATCGGGATACGTTGTGTGGCAGTTGGGCGCAGGGTGGCGCCTGCACCACTTGGCCAGAGATGCGACAACGTTGTCCGCGATCGTGCGGCTTCTGTGCAAAGTAGTCTCATATTCGAATATTCCTGCATTTCTGCACAAATACACTGCACCCAAGCCGGGGCTGGCTGCCGTAGCCGTCTGCACCTTCATAGTGTTTTATGTAGTCGCTTCGAGCTCGTCTTATGTGAG